GGAAATGAATGAGATTGAGAAAGCCTTAGTGACCAGAGTTGACATGCCAGCTCTCTAAAAGGTCACCACCCACTTTGGCATACTGCACCACTCTGTTGTCCGTTGCCTCGGTGAAGTGTTGGTTTATTTATCTCTCCTGAATGTGAATGTTTACCACACCTCATGTGTCACCTAATTTGAATCTCATAAAACCTGTTTCACAAAACATTTTGTTCTTCTATTAAAATGATTGATTGACGCCTTTCATCTAGGTATTACTACTGTTGTGATGATTCATATGTAAATCTAAAAAGTAATACATCTCAAATGAAGAAGAAATATATTTAACAGCAGTTTTGCAGTATTTCCAGATATGCTTTTTTATGCTTCAGTGCAGTATTGTTTGAAGTTGCAAAATAAACAAATATGTGTCATTAATCTCTGGACCACTGCCACGTTCACTGCCCTGCCTCCTAAAATGAAATGGTTATCTTTTGGGAATACATCACTGTGCCCATGGCCATAAACTGCCATGGAGTTAGGAAACTTTTACTTTCCTGCTGTTGTTGTGTTAAAGTCTTTTATAACAGAGTCTTTCATAACGTTCCAGTATTTGCAATGAAAGGTTAACCATCTGCCTGAGGACTTACTGTAACTGACAGGAATGACAAACAAATGAAAATACATGAGACTCAGGTAGCTCTAAAGTGGTACTTATATACATATATGTATAAGAAATAGAAGAACCCCCATTTTAGGAAAATGGTGATGGCATTTGATGCCCTTTGGGGAGCCTGTTTGTACTGGAACCCTCTTTCCTCTACAAAAATAAATAAATGTCAAGGTAAAATGTAAATTTGTCAGCCCCTTCCCTAGAAAATGTTGTTCAGTGCCTGTTACACTGTAGTTGTTATGCCTCTTTACTGTAACAGGCGATTGGATAACAATGACTTTAATGTTTCAGTCCCCCGAACGGTAAGAGAAAATAAACAACAACCTCTGGTTTTATAGAAATATTTCTTCTGTCTTAAAAATACCAACACAGATACAGATTATGTCTGTAAACATTTCTATTGTGTGTATATCTGTGCATCTCCTGTTTCACCTTGGTAACTAGTGACTGACTTTAAAACTTCCTGCCACAACAGGTTTCTTGCACTGAAGCAGCAAGACTTTACAACTAAAGTATACTACTTCCTGGTGTCAGTGTAGAATCCCTCCTTCATTGTTTCTAATATGGACCATTAACCAGCACCGGGCAGTGGAGAGAGATCTCATACACAGTTATTCAAAAACCTTAACGAATGCATGAGGACAAAGACCTTCTTTGTGTTAGTGAAATAAGAGCTTAGTGGACTCGGAGTAAACAAATACAAAAACAATGCCCATGTGTTCCCACGTGAGTATGTTCATCAGTTCCCCTTTGCACTTTTAACTATAAGCTGGATTTCAGCAACTGATATGCAGGAACATTTCAAACAACGGATCCTCAAACAGATCCCTCAGCTTTTCTCATCAAATACTTGGATGCTTTAGAATACTGTGATTTCGTTATTCTGTAAGACTGTAGTCTTCTGCTTCATGTTGCATTTAACTTAAAAGTGTTTTCCAGGATGGATTTTTCAGGAACATGCTGATCAGTGGCTTCATGAGCTTTTCACCAGTTCATGAACATGTCACACATTCAAGATTCAAGATTCAAGATATCATCAAGATTCAAGATTCAAGATTCAATTAACTTTATTTGCCATTTGTGCTTGCACACATAGGAACTCATGTGCGGTTGTTGCTCAGAGAGTCAAGTCAAGTATAAAAAAGACACACAGGAAGACTAAAATCTATCTATAAAACATATACATTTTAAATTGCACGAAACCCATTAAAAGTGTAAATTTGCATTGTGGAATTGCACATGTATATTGCATATTGCATATTGCATATTGCACAGGCCCCGGAGACAACATAATATAATATGATATGATATATTATAGTATAGTGCAAAGTTGCATTGTAAGTTGTAAGTTGCACATCAGCATTGACCCAGGGCCACACGGGAAAGTGGCACAGCAATTCACTTCATTTGCAAGTCCTGATGACTATGTGCAGTGACTTGACTAAGGTGTGGTTTCTTATTTGAGACAAAATCAGCAGTCGTTCCCTTTTTTCCCCCTGGGCAGGGCTTCCTCAGAAATTGAGCTCAAATAGAAGAACTTTCATTGTTAGCTGCTGTGTGTTGCGGGCATTGAAACAACTGGGTTTGAATCATTTGAACCGGACACAGCCAGGTAACCTCACTGACCCGCTCACACTCAACATTATTCCTTTAAAGGATATTTGAATATGTTTTAACAGGTTAATTAACATTATTAACCTGTAATGTGAATTCGACCACTCCTTGTGTTAAAAATGTCTCCGTTACTACCTGCCAATCACCTGACGATGCAGTGACCACAGAGCAGAGACTTGGCGTTTGTTTTCAACAAAAGAAGAGAGCAGTAACTCTGCCAAGTACAGCTTTATCCCTCTTATGTCATAAACCATGGCTTTGGCACAAGTCATAAGAATCTAATCATTTCTTTGTAGGTGATGTGTATGTTTATGCTCTAACTAGTCCCTTCTAAAGGAGATCATTATTTCAATTATAGATGTGATTAATGAAGACAGCACTGGAGTGAAAATTAAAGCGGTTGTTTATGTATGAATGAATCTCTTTATTTTTTTGTAATTTTAATAACAACAAACAATTCAACAATTCATTTTCACACAAACTAACATGATGAAAATGTTAGAAGCTGAATGTGAATGTTGTGGCTGCTAACACAAGTTGAGTGAACATAGGTTGACATTGTTTTTCTTGAGCGTCTGAATTCCACTTAAGTTAGGTAACATATTTAGCGTTAATCCTAGTTGAATAATACAACATGAACACAAACAAGCGAAGCAGACCCTCCTTCCTTCTCTCCACATGCTCGGTTTCTACAAGCGGAATAACATTGTCGGCACTCTGTGTTTAAAGAGTTGTCAGTTTAGAAAAGTAAAACATTTTTTAACTTTGCATGAGCTTTGAGATGGCTGGGTAAGGCTTCTTGGAACAGGGCCACAGTTATAAGCAGTTGAGCGGGATTCAGATTTGCTCACCAAAGCTCTCGAAGGTCACAACAGAGGTTCAATTGTGGCGCTTCTGAGAAGAGTATGGGATTAAATCAAAGAGAGCTTTTTTTGGAGACCCCTTTTCTTATTATTTGTATTGTAAAAGCTGTGAAAGCATATAAACATTGTCAGCTGAGGCCAGGGGCAGAGGTCAGTGGGTAAAAGGTTATCAGTGATCATCAGCACAGCAACCTGTCAAATGTAATTAGACACACTTCGGCTCTCCGACTAATTTTTGCCAAATGCTTCACATAGAATATAAAGAGAAAGGGAAAAGAACAAACTAAAAAGATACAAGAATAGCACAGGAACATTTCACTTTTAAATGCTCAGACTTAATCTTTTGCTGAGGTGATTGTTACAAAATTTAACAGAGGCTTTTCCTTGGTTTTTGCCTATGATGAAATTACATATTGGTTGGTTAGTTACTGTGTCAGTGGAGGATGCCAACATGCTGTAATAAAGAAAACAGCACCTCAAACAGGAGCTGGCCTCAATCTGGATTTTAAAACACCTGTAAAACATTCCCTGTGTAAAAATGTCACTCACACAGCTTTTAATATCAGGGTTCAGGGTTTTTCTTTCATCTTGCCCATAGCTGTTAATTCATTATTACCTTTTTGAGCCAAGCTAGCGACATGGCTCCAGGGATGGCAATGTCAGTTGGTTCACCACTTTGATCCAGACTGAAATATCTCAGCCACTATTGGATGGATTTAAATTTTGTCATGGTCCCTAAAGGATGAAGCCTAGTGACTTTGGTGATCCACTGACTTTTACCTCTAGCACCACCATGAGCCTGACCTGACTATGAGCCGCAATATCGCTGTTGACCAGGGACTTTTTCTGCATGTGTTTCACCATCTCTATCTGCCCTTTTTAGGCCTGGATTATGTACTGCCAGGGGGACATGAAGTACTTACAGTGTGAGTTAACCACTATGGACCCTAAGCCACTTGGTGCATACATTGAGTGTAACACCTGGGCCCCATGGTGCATACCAGGGTTGCAACATTTTTTTTCACAACGATTTTTACGGTCGGAGGGGCCTCCAAAACACATTTGCCCAGGGGCCTCACAGTACAATGATCTGGCCCTGCGTTTTACTTGTCTTTGTTTTTTCAGATTATGCTATAAATATAAAGTGTAGCTATATTACCGAAATGACTAGAAATAAGGGGAGAGAGATGGAGAACAACATGCAACCAGAGTGGTCGAGGCTGTAGTTAAACCAGGGATGTTTCAGGTGCCTTAGCGCCTAGGCTCTGAGAGCATCCCATTTCCCTGCTGATGGCTAGGTAATAAAGAAATAAAATGCCCCCCCCCCCCCCCCCCCAAGTCAAATCTTCCAAATCTTTTAATGTAATTAGCAAATGTTAGCATGCTAATATTCTAAACTATGATGTTTAATATGGTAATTTTTTACCTGCTTAATATCAGCATGGTTGCCTTGACAGTGTGGGAATGTTAACGCCCCTACAGAGGCTGTAGTGGAATGCACTTTGTAAAGGTTAATCCAGTAGAAAGCCCTAAACTTGGTTGGCTGTAGATATAGACTATTGTGTTGCCTAAGAGGTATGTGACAACACAGTGGATAGGTTTATCTTTTTAACAGTGACAGATTGAATATTTCAACATACAGTCTAGACTATCAATTCCTACTGATACAACAGAGATTAACCAAACAGATGTCCCAATTTTAGACTTGTTGGCATTGTCCTGCAGGTCCAGTTTCACAGTAGCCCAGCCAACTGACATTGCCATCCACAGAGCCATGCAGTTAGCATGGCTAAAAGAGGTCCTCTTTGGTTTATTCCCTTTGTCCCAGAGTGCATTTCTTTGGATTTGCTGTTTCCATGGTTTTGTAAGCTATGCCCCAGAGAGAAATGGTCACCCTGTACAACCCCATTCAGAGCGTGGACATCTCTCATTATTTTAACGGCCAGCAGTGGAAGGACTGCCATGAGATCCTGTTGGCCAATTACAATACGAATGACAGATCGGACTACGGCCTTGGCCTACCAGTCATGTAAGTGATGAGCCAAGGGAAAACTTTCAATCAAGGGGCCAAGTCAGTAACTCTTCAGTAGTGACAAAAATCAAGGTCCACAGGAAGGTCACTGCTTCGTTACAAGGCTTCCATACAGCCATACTGGAAGCCATGCATCTGTGACAAAGGCTTTAAAGCAAATCATAGTAACCCCCGTATGATATGTTGTTGTATGATTTAAAGCTGCTATAATTAATATTTTTTTGTGACAATGGATCAAATGACAACTTGTACGTGAAGGGGGTCGCTCTTTGTGATGAACCCAAAGAGAATTGTCAGTACTGTTTCCTTTAGCTACACGGACAGTTTCTGCAGCTCTTAGTTAATTGTTTTGGTTTAGTGAACCGCTTAACCACTCTGATTGCTCTCTTCAGGGTCATTTTCTAATGCAGCAGGAAGCTGTTTTCAAGGAAAAAGCTCTGAAAACCCACTGGACACTGCTAGCTAGCTCTTGGCAACTAGCTGAACACAGTGGAGCATTTAGCAACTGAAAAGTCAGATATTTCTATCAGGGCCAAAAGATAGTTAAAGGGAGAGTACATTTTGGACTACTCAGGTAGACATATGTCTCCAAATGAGGGCCAGTGTTGCTCCATGTCTGCCCAATATGTAAATAGGTAACTGTTTGCTAACTTCATAAAGTTATATGTCAGCTTTTATCAAGATATTTGCATATTATACATATATTTCTGTCTTTAAAGCAACAATGTGTATTAATAGTAACATTTATGTCTGGGTATGTATATATATTATTTTTTTGGAATATTTGAAAATGTATAGTTGAAATTGTTTTAATCTCCTTTGATGGCAAAAAACATTGTTATATTATATATATATTAAATTTTTTTACATTTACTTGACCCATCAAGCTTACAACTTGAATCTGCTACATATTTTATTGCTGATTTAAATAAACTCAGGCCACTAAGGCAAATCGACTCTTGCGTTTTAAAACCACATGTTCTTAAACAGCAGCATCAGGAACAACAGTCACCAGTGATGTACTGTTATGACCCCATGATAAAAGAAGGCCTTTGATGCTTGTGTTGTGCAGTGACCACAACCCAGGTTATGCAGAACAGGAAACAAATCTCCTTTTTTGAAAAGCCCAGGCTCTTGGGAGTGTCTGTATTACGTCTGCATGTTCGGTTTACGGAAAAGCTCCAGCAAAGATGCAAAGTGTGTCAAACAGGTGGATGCTGTAACAAACATCCTATTGTCGCATTTCCTCTCATAGACTTAATTCCTTATCTTTGTACATTTTCAATAACTGGTTGGTGGTCAAATAGGGTCAGTATCGGAAGTAAGGTCCATTATTATGCAAAGATAAAAGTACAAAATCAAGGAATAAGGAATAAACCACAATTTGTCCATTTGTCGCTGATAATAGATAGATAGATAGATAGTAATATTGCAAATATGCATTAGTCACTGCAACCTTAAAATGAGTACCCTTTGTAGTTTAAATAACTCCACCACCACATCAATGCTTACTGACACATATAGCCAGAGAATGAAATTAAACTGTCCTCCAGTGATCTCTATGCATTTTTTTTTGTCAGTCAAGTTTTTTTTACCAAGTTAAATGAAAAAAGTGTAAACGAAACAAAAGGACTGTTTTTTCATGAATAAAAAAGCTGGCAAGCACAACGATTAATGATGATGTGTCATCAGTTTGCTCTTTGGGAGAGCGACTTGCGGCACCTCAAGGAGGAGTTGCCAATCATGTTTAAGGCACAAGAAAATACTTTCGAACACACGCCCCAAAGAAAAAAAAACTGTATCAGAATACCTCAGATTTAATTGGGTGTAGCTCACCCTTTTTTCTTTTTTTTTTTTTTACAGCAGATAGATATGGAGGATTTATTGAAAAGTGACTGAAAGAAAACTGTGAGAAACCACTGCAGACTTGTTCTGAAAAGAGTATTAACGACACAAAGGCCGGTGATGGACACTGGCTTGTGAGAATAACATTGCAGGGGAGCCTACGTGCATGAGGGCACAGACTGAGTCCTGGGCTCTCATTGTGAAAAGGAGAATTTGAGCTGCCAGTTGACTCAAGTGAAAATTAGGCCATGGTTTCAGTAGAGGTGCTGTCAGGTGCACGGGAGGTCAACAAGTACCAGCCTGCAGTGAGCAGAGCTTCCGGGCATTAGGGGTAATGACAAAGTGTAGTTACAAACTTAAAGATAATTATCATCCAACTTTGAAGGAGGCTTTTTTTTAGCTTTATATAATCTTTCAGCTCATTGCCTGGTTTTATAGCCCACAACTTTACTGTTTTGGGTCTGTCTCACCTCACCCATAGACTGTATAAAATATGGACATAGTCTCTGTAACGTCA